TATATAATGTATATATATTTATAAACAAAAATTTATACTTTTATTCAGCAAGGATGCAATTAACTTGATCAAAAGTGACACTTATAATCTTACAAAAAAAGTAAATAGTAAATGCTGATCTTTTGAATTTTTTATTCTTCCTGGAAAAAAAATATAATATTAAGCAGCAGAACTGTTTTCAACAATGATAATATTAATAAATGTTTCATGAGCATTTTTCAGTGTTAACAATGATCTTGACCCATTGTGTTTCTGACCCATTGTGAGTAGACAAGCTTTTGTGTGACAGCCAGTGCACACTGCTGCAGACTGGACCTGCAGTGAAAAAGTGCTTGGTGTGTGTGTGTGTGAGAGAGAGAGCACTATTAGTTGGATTGTGCTGAATCCTACAACTTCCTGACTTGCTTTAAAAGCAGCTGATGGGATTTTATCCTCTTCATCAGTGTTTCATTGGCACTGGCAGCAGGATCCTGCTCTGATTAGTGTCAGGTGAGCCTGCTGCAGGTGATATGGCAGTAAAAAGTGAAGCTCTGACCCACCTGCAGCTTTTCGTTTCAGTCACATCCACCTGAGCCCCTTTAGACATCACTGATCTCCCATATATAGTTATCAGGGTTTTACAAAGGACCTGAGATCCAAACTGTGTAATGAGATGCATTGCACAAAACATGTAAACACCAAGTTTAGGTTTACTGTATATCTTCTAGCCCTTTATCAATAGGCATAGTTTATTGGATTTAGACAAAAAAGCTTGTAATTATTTACATTACTGTTCAGTTTATTTTAAAATATGTATTCTATTTAAAATCAAAATATATTAATATAGAAAACAGTTCAATTTTAAGAATATTTCACAATGTTGCTGTTTTTACTGTATTGTGGATCAAACAAATGCAGCTTTGGTGAGCAGAAGAGACTTCTTTCAAAAACATTAAAAATCTTACCGACCCCAAATGGTACATACTGTTGTGTATAATCATTTGTAGTAACAGACAATAGGTTATTTAAGTAAAGGAAGTTGACGTTTACACCTCAGACTTGGGTTTAAAAGCTGTTATAATCCTTGTTGTACCGTTCAGTAAGCTGTCTAATGATGATGATGAACATGTTTTAAACATGGTGTTTCATGGGATTACATCAAAACAAACTGACATTTAATCCAAAGTGACTCAGTTTTTATTTTCCTCCTCTCTAGTCTATCTGTTAACAGAATTGTAGAATATTAAACAGGTTGCCAGTTATTTGTAGTAGCCAGTTCTTGAATACAGAAAAAAACATGATCTGCTCATTATCTGAATTTGATTCCCTCCCCTTCTGTGTTTCTACAGAAAACAGTGGACTGTATGACCACCATGTCGGTGCCCTCCACTCTGGTGAAATGTCTATATTTGTTTTTTGACCTGCCCCACATGCCCGAGGTTCCTGCTGCCACCCAGACTGAGCTTCCTCTGGCGGACCGCAGAGCTCTTCTACAGAAAGTCTTTGTCCAGGTCTGTCTGTCTTTAGGAACAGCATTTTCTCCACAAAATACCCATAAGACATCATATTGAGAACAACTGTGACTTTTTCTTCTGATTGTTCTGCTCAGATCCTGGTGAAGCTGTGCAGTTTTGTGTCTCCGGCAGAAGAGCTGGCCCAGAAGGATGATCTACAGCTGCTCTTCAGTGCCATCACCTCCTGGTGTCCCCCCCACAACCTTCCCTGGAGGAAGAGCGCTGGAGAAGTGCTTACCACCATCTCCCGACACGGCCTCAGCATCAACGTCGTCAAGTACATCCACGGTAAGTTGCAATGATGATGATTTGACTTCTTTCACTGTGGTTCTTTGCCGTTGCTGTGCGTGGATGCATAATACTGACAATGTTTTGCTGCTGGCATCTTATGAACCCTAATAGCATTTTAACCTTACATAACCAGTTGGTCACTGTTGTGCTTTTAGCGTTTTTAGAGGTCAATGTCTGGTGTTTGCAGACATTTTTGCCCAGAATTGTTACGCTAAAATCTAGGCCCTTAAGAATCTATAATCAAAACTTACTTTCTGAAAACACATGGATTTAAGTCCTTTGAAGTATGTGAATGTGGAAATGCTGTCTTTAGGCATTTATTGGTTTACTGCCAAAAAAATTTTAAACTGCTTAAAAATTCACAACCAACGTGAAAGTATTTGTTCTGGCTCTCTCTTGCAGAGAAAGAGTGCTTGTCAACGTGCATCCAGAACATGCAGCAGTCAGATGACCTCTCTCCTCTGGAGATTGTGGAGATGTTTGCCGGGCTCTCCTGTTTTCTGAAGGATTCGAGTGATGTCTCTCAGACTCTCCTGGATGACTTCCGCATGTGTCAGGGCTACACCTTCCTCGTAGATCTTATGATCAGGTGACTGATTTGTAATTATTTCTTGCACAAATCTTCAGGGTATATATGTGAAGGATAATGTGTGGTCATTGTCTTAAAATAAACCCAGACAGGAGGAGGGTTATTTTGCAGTAATGATCAGCTGACTGTACGTTTTCAGACGTATTACATGACTCCTTACAAAATAAATCAATATTTCATGCTCATGCACAGTATGTTCAAACGTTTGGAACGGTAGTGATCCTTCAGAAATCATTCTAATATGCTGATTCGGTGCTCAAGTAACATTTCTTCTTATTATCAGCTGAAAACAGTTGTGCTGCTTAATATTTTCAAGGGTTTATTGATGAATTGAAAGTACAATAAAATAAAATAAAAAAACATTTTGAAATAAACATCTTTTGTTACATTATAAATGTCTTTACTGTCAATTTGATCAATTGAGTGTGTCCTTGTTGAATGTGATTTATTAAAAAAAAAAAAAAACCTACTGACCCTAAACTTTAGAATGGTAGTGTATTTGAGTTATTTAATTATCTTGCTTATATGTTTACTTAAAGTGTTAGCTTAAAAGGATAGTTCACCCAAAAAAAGGAGTAATTTAAAGGCAATAAGTATAGTTAGGGGTTCAAGCACGTAGTGCTGAAACCCTATTGTAATTGTTAGGATTTTTATTATTATTATTATTCTTCCCTAAAACTGATCGTGCAGCCCAAACCGTAAGGCCTAGAGAGCTGAAACTTGGTCAGATTGCAGTAGTCCGCCCTTCTTGTCAGATCCAAAGACTCACCGCAATCGGCCAATAGGGGGCGCTACAGCGATCAAAAACGCAAAAGCCCTCATAACTCCTACACCGTTTGTTGATTTCATTTGCGTCTATAAAAATTTTGAATTCCGCCATTTTGAATTTTGTCAGAAACCTACTTATGCGAACTAGTCCTAGGTTTTTCACCCGATCGGAACCAAACCAGTGCAGAAATGTTCTTTGGACAGTGAATATAAAAAATTATAAAAAAAAAGTTGAAATTTCAACTCACCGTCGCTTAGGGACGCAAAAACGGACGGGGTTATTTTTACTAAAATGGCTATAACTCCTGAACGGAATGAGATATCTTCACCAAACTCGGTACACATGTTTGCAAGCTCAATCTTTGGTCAAATATTTAAAAAAATTGCAGTTCTGCCACTTGGTGGCGCAATAAGATGAAAAAAACCTAAAAATGACTATAACTATGCAACCGTTGATCCGATCGACTTGAAAATTGGTATGCAGTGTCTTCGTCCAATGGGGCACAAGTGTCTATGAGGACATTCGCATATCTCAAAAAGCATGGCCGCCATTGGCCAAAGAAATTTTGGCACCTATTGGACAAGGTTAACAGAGGTCAATCAGAACAAAACTTGGTGGGCATGTTCAACTCATGGCCCTAAAGGTCTGTAAGAATTTTGAAAGAAAACGGCCACTAGTTGGCGCTAACGAACTTTTTGGCTCTGTAATCACATGGTGTTTCACAAATCCACACAATATGCATATCATTCGATAGACCTCCTCATAATGCACAACTTTGCCTCAAGAACCATTGCTGTCAGTCAAATCGTTCATTAATTATTCACAAATACGTTAAAAACCTACTTTTGCGAACTAGTCCTAGGTTTTTCGCTCAATCTCGATCAAACCACTGCAGCGATATTCTCTGGACTCTTTAGATCAATAATTATCAAAAAAAATGTTGAATTTTGTCCTTTGGTTATCTTTAACGGGGTAATTTAGAAAAGGGGTGTGGTCAAATATACACATAAGCCAATAAAACCTAAACGAAAACTCCAAACTTTACGAAACTTTGTGAAAACATGTGTCGGATAACTCTTAACAAGCATGCAAACTTTCATGGAGATCGGACAATAGGTGGCGCTATAACAGTTGAAAAGGCCTCAAAAATACAATATTTGTATAGAAAATGACCTCAAATTGTAAAACATGTACATATATTCACACAAACACTAGATCTGCATATCATATGATAGATCTCCTCATTTTGAACAAATTTGCCTCTAGGACCAATGCTGTCAATCAAACTGGTCATTAAATATCCAAGATTATTTAAAAAACCTACTTTTGCGAACTAGTCCTAGGTTTTTCGCTCAATCTCGATCAAACCACTGCAGTAATATTCTCTGAACTCTCTAGATAAATAATTATCAAAAAATTGTTCAATTTTGTTCTTTTGGTTAGCTATAATGGGGTCATTTAAAAATGGGCGTGTCCAAATATACCCAAAAGCCCATAAAACCTAAACGAAAACTCAAAACTTTACGAAACTGGGTGACAACATGTGACAGAAGACACTTAACAAGCATGCAAAGTTTCATAGAGATTGGACCATAGGTGGCGCTATAACAGTTAAAATGGTCTCACAGTATTTCTGTAGTAAATTACCTCAAATAGAAATAAAATGTTCATATATTAACTTATACACTATATCTTCATAACTTTTGATAGATCTCCTCATTCTGAATAAATTTGCCTCTAGGATCAATGCTGTCAATCAAACTGGTCATTAAATATTCAAGATTATTTAAA